TCACTCGGTAATTGTTCCATTGCTGACATTATAAAATTTAGCATGCACCTAGAGACCTTTTTCGTCGGCCTGCATAAGGTGCCTTGCACCGGAAGGATGTTAGTTTAGACACAGTTTTTACAGACAACTGTCATTACTTAGGAGTCTGTTTTTACAATGATACAGAGATTTAAGCGCGAAGAATCTATTCGCTCACGCACTGCTCCTGACAGTTATTTGCTACCTAATGCTGATAAAGTTTCCCTTGCCGTTTAATCGAAAGATAGTATCAAAAGGTCCCCCTAATAATCGGTGCCATTGGAAGACGATTCCTGCCTACTGTCCGTCTGGATGGGTGGACTTTAAACACCAGTCCTCTGCTTGAAGCGGCTCCGAGTATTCCTTGCTTGTCCGTATTTGACAGATTTTTGTCGCTCAGTCGACCTATGTCACCCTAGCTCGCGGCAGATACTTCACTTTCTGGCATTAATTTCGTCCGTCGTCACCACTTCTGTCGTATTGCTTATATCTACGAAATCGATCGTCTCGGGCTAGGTTGGACAGAGTTATGGTCCCATCTTTCGACAGTATTGCTTTTCCGGCTTCCTTTCTGGTTCTCTCCCCTGGACGACCCTTGCGCATCGCCTCCTTGACAGATATCCTCAGCGTCTGAATTTTATTTGACTTTCGCCACCTATGCGCTCGCTGTCTTCGATAACACTGGGTTTCACACACCCTTGTCTTCTGACTGCAGAGGCCTTCGGGGCTACCGTGGCCGAGGTCTCAAAAACCGTTGAACACGCTTTCCTTGATGTGGCTTTCTGATGCAATTGAATTACATCACGCATCTAACTACTCTTCGACACAATGAAGTTCTTTTGGACGTGTTCGAGTGGACGAAGTAAAGCTGATACAGTTAACTGTTTCTGTACAAACCATCTTTAGGTCGCCACTGACTCGAAGGTTTTAGTATGAGTTTCTCACGTGTTTTGCGCCTCCGTAAAATTGCGATTATGACTAAGAGCCTGAACTGTGTCTTCGACCGCCGTTGTTTCTGATCCTGCCTGCAGACGTAATACCTAAATGTAATCTCAAGTGCAATGATTTACCCCCATACCACATCATGACGCAAACCGCTCAGGTTATCTAACAAGTTATATTTTTGTGGTTTGGCACCTTTTTCGGCGGAAATGTGTTATTCGAATTCCTGTCCCACTTAGTCTTCGGCTGTTGAAACGAATAGGAGGCTGCCAGCTAAATCCATTTAACATTTTTGACTTATATCGAACGTCAGAACAAAATTGACTAGGCCTGATGAAGGGCATTTGGTTGCCGGCAACTGTGTTTGTGTAACTGTCCAATTTTTGGTTTTCATTTACAGATGCTTTCGTCTTTGGCCAAGCACGGTCGTTTTTGTAGGTTGCTAGTGAATCACTTTTAAAGAGTCCACTTGTCAGAAGTGACCTTTTTGCACTTTTATTATGTTACCGTGCAAAACAATACTTCTTGCCTTTATCGGGTCGATTCTCAGCTAACCTGCAGTTTAGCTGCAGTTTTTCGTGACAGACAGCCACTCCCACAGTCTTGGATGTTTGCAGGACGGGGAACGCTCTCCCTCTCACCCCGTTAGGACACGGGAATAGGAAACGCCCGTAATGCAGTTGGCTTTGCGCCATATTCCAGGAAATCCAGGATCAGGGTTTAGGGTAGTGTTGTGGCTGCTTTATTATCTTCTCCTCGGACAAAAGAACTATCAGTCCTCTATGATTTTCTGCAAATCTGCAATGAAAAGTCTGTTCTAGGCATGCTAATGAAGAAAACTGTTTCATGTAATTGATTTTTTTTCATTTTCTCTACTACTGATAGGCAATCTATTTGATTCAAACTCACGATCGTCCGGAACCCAAAACCGAAGACATTGATCCCCTCCTAAAGGATTTCCTGGACCGATGTTTGCAGTCGAATCCAGAGAAAAGAGCCAGTGCAGCAGAACTACTGGAGCATCCTTTCCTTCGAAACACCAAGAGCCTTGCCGGTCTGCAGGCCCTTATTGAAGCCGCTCGGCAAAACCTGGGCAAGAAGCCCTAAACTCAGCTCTCTCTCTCTGCTCGCGTGTGCCCTATCATCGTCCTCCCACCAAGACGTGTGCGCTATTTTTTCATGCCTTCGATTCTCCTGACCTCTTCTTATCCACGGGCGCGGATCTGCCTTCTTGTAGTGCTGGGCCGACGTTTTTGACGAATCGACACTCAGAGTTGTTAGCCGCCCGCGTTTCCTCTCCTCCCCCTCCCGTCATTCTACCTTTTATACCCCTCTTCTTCTACTTCACATGCCGGTAAATCTCCCATCCCAGACCGTCATAATCTCCTACACCTTCTTTCGGTGTTTATTGTCTTATCCTTTCACTTTCTTACAATTATGCTACTGTAATTTATTGACAAGGTCTTTTGACGCGTTAAGTCTGCTCTCCCGTGGTTTCTGCAGCAACCGAGTCTCTGTTGACCGGCTGTTGTGTGATGCTTGGAATATGGTGGAGAGCAGTTGGTCTTCCCCGCGACAGCCAACCCCTACCAATACTGCCATTCTCTCCCAGCCAGGTGCTCCTACACACACTGAGTTCGTAAACTTTATTTCCTTTGTGGATTTCGCTACTTCTCTACCATTAGCGTCATTGTACTACTAGTAGTAATCAGCGTCATCAT